AGTCTTGTGGTAGCAGTGACCAATTGGTGAGCAAGTTGTATTTGCGGAAAAGGCGCATGATACGGAGGCAAAAGTTTAATAGCGCTAAATAGCGCTAAACTAGTATCGAAGAACATATGATACTTACTTTCATTTGTATCCATCATCCTCTGCAATTCGTCTCGAATTATTTCAGCAATTTGAGAAATCGAGTAATTTTCATCCTGGACATCGAAGGTAACATTTAATTCGAATTCTGATAAATTATTATTTTTATCTGTCAATTCGCCAACTAATTGAGATAATTAATCGATATGGATTTCTCTATTATGTTCAATGTTATCGGTTGGGTTTTCGATATCGGATGGCGTACTGGTTTGTATATTTTGATCAGACAACTGTTAGCTAATTGACTTTGTGAAATTTTTCTAATTATATGTTTTGTTTGCGCTTAGATAAATATTGAATGCATGTTTTTGATGGAGTTTCGTTGAATTTTTAAACTCGCTTTTTGGCAGTCTTTTTGCAACTGGTACAGCAAAAGCTATTGTGTACGATACAAACTCGTAATAAGACATTGTACAATTTTAGACAATTTGTCATTACGATAATAGAGGTATTATACGTTACAGCAAAGCGATTGTGTACGATACAAACTCACAATAAAAATATTGTACATTTCAGATAAATTGTAATAAAGATATTTTACATCTTCTTTGAAGACAATATGTGGAATGTAAGACGTTTGATTATGAAGAGTTGATAAATGTACCGTTAGCTAATTAATTATTTTTAACATAATCGTTAATTTCTCCATTGTAACAGTCGGCAGCGTATTCTTATTATTATCCTATTCATTGCATTTCGATTCATTTCATTTCGATTCATTTCATTGAATTCTATTCCCCCGGAGCGAAGTTCATTTTATACCTTTTTGTGTGCACTCACCTGACAAAAATGTTCACACGATTCATACGCCCAATTGACAAAATTTGATTGCATGTTTACTCACCTGACAAAAAAGTGATTATTACGAGTAAAGATTTCTCTTTCAGTACGATTGCTTTAAATTTGAAAATAAAGATAATTAATATTTTACATTTAACTGATGTAATGATAGTTTAGTTATACGATATTTTGCATAATAAAAAATGCAAGTAAGAAATATCAAAATTCTACCACTGTGACGAGTAGTATATCGAATGTAATGTAAATAGTTATGATGATATGTGTAACATGAGAAGAATTCACTGCCGTGGTGTGATCAGAAGTTGCCACACTAGGGCGACGAGTATCGAATGTTCTGATATTTACAATGGTCCATGTGACTCGTCTAATAGTGACAAAGTAGTAGATTGAATGTCCTGCAACGACCGAGAATGTTCTGTACGATGTAATATTTACGACGATTTATGTGGCGTGATGAAGAATTCTTAGATATGGTGTGACCAAAATTTTGTGATCAGATTACGCCACCGATTGTGGCGTGATAAAAAATCACCTTACTTGATGTGGTGTGATCTAATTCGACAATCAAATCTCTTATAATTTTGATGACCAATGATAGACATTTATTTTTTAAACAACCCTCCCCTCTCAAGCAAGCTCCACCCAGGTTTTACTATCTACGGCTATCAGAAATTAGGGATTATGAAGAAAAAAATGATATGTATGTTGTATCTCAGTTCGGGACCTGTCTCAGTTCCGGACCAAGATATGTCTCAGTTCTGGACCAAGACATGTCTCAGTTCTGGACTGAGCTGTCTCGGTTCTGGACTGAGTTGTCTTAGTTCTGGACTGAGCTGTCTCAGTTCTGGACTAAGTCACACTGCATTATATGATCGCCATTCGGGAGACATACATGATATGACTATACGACACTGTGGTCTAATGCTGGAAAAGACGATATTCGTTTCACCCGAATTCTATACATTAATTAGTCAAATTATTTTACACTACGCCGGTCTGTTCTGGATGCAATAAAAATATATGCCACTTCCTTTACAAACCATACATCACCGTTAGTGTGTGCTTTCTTTATCAATAACGAAAAGGACAGCTATCGTAGTAAAACCTCTAATTCGGTCTCATCTACTCATTCCTAGACTATTAAAGTCAAAATTATAATTCTGCAAACAATTGCACAAATTTATCTTTATTGAGTATGCTAAATTATTGACAAATACGTTGATGATTATGTAATAAAGTTACGACGTCGTCGGAACCTTTACAATGTTCATTACAAACTTTCGTCTTGTGCTGTCGTCAAATCTCACATCTCTGTAAAAACAATTGTATTTCTTAATACCTTTGCAAGTTCCCAACAGGTTGAATCGTTGACTTTAGTAGTAACTTTTGGATGAATATTTGAAGAGTATGTCTAAATTTTGTTGATATCGAATCAGCGTTGTACAAGTCATTAACACAGACGACTCTATTTCTTATCACTTACGTATTATACCACGACCGATCACAGTACCGCACG